TCAATAAAAACATATTTTTAAAAAATAAATGTTTCTCAAACTTCAGCATTTAGAAAATCTATTTCCTAAAATATAATTACTCACACAACTTCCTCCTTTCCTAGCAGATATTTTATTGGGACATTTTTAAAATATGTTTTTATTGATTTTAGAGAGAGAGAGAGAAAGGACGAGGGAGAGAGACACAGAACAGTGATGAGAGAGAAACATCATCGATCGGCTGCCTCCTGCACGCTCCCTACTGGAGATCAAGCCTGAAACCCAGGCATGTGCCCTGAGCAGGCATTGAACCCATTCATGGGCCAATGCTGAGCCATACCAGCCAGGATATTGGAAGAGTTTTGTTTGAAGAGTGGGTGAAGAGAAGAGGAGGGGGTGGCAGGAAGGAAGTACATGCTTAGGTTGTACCAATATCGGTGAGTGTAAACTGGACTGTACCCAATGTAATTTATTTGGGGATTGAGGGGGGAGATCTGTGGCTGTTTGTAAATAAAGTTGAAGAAATATTTTGTGATGAGAAAAGCTCTGGATTCAGTACACCTTTGCTAAAGTCCTAGTTTCTCTATTTAATAGTTGGATCACCTTAGCCAAGTCACTTAACTTCTTTCCCCTTTGGTTTCCACATTTTAAAAGTGAGGATAATAATGCTATGAGATGTGCCAATCTCAAAAAAAAGCTGTCAAAATGTTAATTAATATTATGGACATGAATGTCTTTGTAAATTTTTCAAGTCCCATTTGGGTTGTGACAATGTTCCTGTTGTAATTACTATGGAATAGTTGTAAACGGAAGGCAAACTGTTTATTCCTGCAGTGTGAATTTGCCACTTTGTTTCCTTTAAAATTCCTAGGATTTTTATTTTTTAGTGTTTCAAACTAAATATGTATTGGTAAAAATAACTTGTAAACATTGTATGTTTAAATGAATGTTCATTTTTCATTTCCTACCATAACTTTTGGAAAAAAATATATATATATATATTTTTTACCCTGGGGGAAAAAAAACTGCAGGTCTTAACCACAGAGAAGTCAAACAGCCTTTTCTTAATTGCTCCAAAGGATATTCTTTGTATAAATTTGTAGATATGTCTGAGGATCAAAAGTAAATTTCTAAGTATGAAAAGTTCTATACAAGAAGATGACCCTTTATTTCAAAGTAAAATTTGAGTTTAAAAAGAAAAAAATCAGTGTCTTTTTTATATATGTGGAGGTAAACAGGTCTAACCTTTCTTTCCTTCCCTCATCTGTAATGATCTTCGTTCCTAAAGAAATCACATAAGATTTGTTGCTGATGAACATTATTTCGACCATATCCTGGCCTATTGCCACTTCTTTTGAGTCTGTTATTCCAAGGTGACATCAGATAATAAGCAGCATTCACGTATCCTATATAATAAAAGGGTAATATGCAAATTGACCCTAACAGCAGAACTACTAGGAATGACTGGTCACTATGACACACACTGACCACCAGGGGGCAGATGCTCAATGCAGGAGCTGCCCCCTGGTGGTCAGTGTGTTCCCACAGGGGGAGCTCTGCTCAACCACAAGCCAGGCTGACAGCTGCCAGTACAGCGGTGGTGGTGGGAGGCTCTCTCGCCTCCTCAGCAGTGCTAAGGATGTCCGACTGCAGCTTAGGCCTGCTCCCTGCTGGCAAGTGGCCATCCCCCAAGGGCTCCCGGGCTGCCAGAGGGATGTCTGACTGCCAACTTAGGCCCAATCCCTCAGGAAACGGGCCTAAGCCAGCAGGTGGTCATTACCCGAGGGGTCCCAGAGTACAAGAGGACACAGGCCGAGCTGAGGGACCCCCCCCAAGTGCACAAATTTTTGTGCATCGGGCCTCTAGTCCTTTCATAAGAAAGATTCTAGATAGTCCATCCTTGATTTTCTTTCCCAACCCTTAATATCTCCTGTTTCTTTCCTTCCAGAGATATGTTATTGTTATATGATGTACATAACATAATTAGATACAATAATAGAAAATTGTATCATTATAATTTCACGTGAAGTGAAGGTTTTATGGATTTTAGATTACTCTTTGACTCACGGTAGAAAGAAGTCCTTGAAGGTTATCATCCTGTTAAAGAAACAGCCCTTTAAAATGACTCTCCTTCATAACAACAAGCTTACAATCGGAAATAATTAAGTTCATAAAAACTATCTACATTGCTTGTATAGCATCCCATGTTTTTAATTTTTTCACCAGTATTAGGACCAATCTGTCCACAAGTTTTAAATTTGGGAATCATCCAGTTTATTCCAAAAATGTCAGGCAAACTGGAAGGGGAGAAAGAAAATAATGTTTATCAAGTTGAACTATTTCAGTTGGCTGTTCCCTTAATCAAAGCACTGGGATAACTGCCAAATCCATTCCCTTGGGTGGCATGCCACACACTCCTCGTAGAACCAACATACCAGGAGTGTTTATAAAGGTGAGCCCTCTGCTCAGCAAGGAACTGGGAATTCCAGTGGTTCTATACACCTTACCCTCAAATCCCATGGGGACTAGGACCCCTGATGGAATCCCCCATATTTTCAGATCAAAGGGTATATTAGATTTTCAGGGAGGTATGTGTGTTTCAGAGGGGGGAAAACAGCCCCCAAAAATCAATATTATGAAGCAATTTTATATTTGGAAAACCAAACAAAAAATGCTTATTTTGAAATTTGTTCTTTTTGTTCTTCATTTGGTTTTCTAAGGGGAAGATGGATTTCGAAACGTTGAATGATGTTCATACTTTTTCATCCTTTCTGCTCCTGTGAGAATTTGGCTGATTTTCATGCCAGAGCCAGGACCTGTACTGAAAGTCGATGTCAGCAAGACCACCAGCTTCCCAGGGTGCAAAGGAGAGAAATCCGGCCCCAGTCAGCTCCCTGGCCCAGGGCACAGAGGCCCCGTGTTTGTCCCACCCTTTTTTCCCTCGATCAGCTTTTCTGCAGAAACTGTAAACCCAATGCCCGGGGCCCCACGTGAAGCTGAAGCCGTGTGCCTAGGGAGTGAGCTGATGGAGCTCTAGATGAGAGTTTGGATATCAGGAGGTGGTCATTCCAGGACAAGCAGTTTTCTTCCTTCCCAGTCTCCTGAGAGAAAATTAGAAAGGAAGAGAGAGGGAGGAAACCAATTCACATTTATCAATATGAGCTTACTTAAGTGTTTTGCTAAGTAACCATAGTAAAATACATTGAAACCAGACTTCATTACTGCAACCGGAAAGAATTTGTCATGATTAATTGCTTCAGAGTCTTCAGCTCCTAAAATATAGCTCTGCTACTGAGAATGTACTAAGAGTTCTCAGAAAACCTGGGGACAAAGATAAAATCACATATGCTGGAAATATCAGGAAATATTAATGCATACATATAATCGTGTGATCTTGATTATTTCTTATGGAGAAATAAAGATGGAAGTCAGTTTACCACACAGAGGAATCAACAGGAATTGACAAAAAGGATGATGAATTGGATAGATTTCTATACCTAAGATTTACTGAATATTCCTACTTCTTCTCAATCAATGTTGAATCCAGAGGAGTAAAGTCTAAAGATTTTGTGGTCTCTATGTTCTCTAATAAAAAACAAACAGCCGAAACCAGTTTGGATCAGTGGATGGAGCGTCGGTCTGTGGACTGAAGGGTCCCAGGTTCGGTTCCGGTCAAGGGCATGTGCCTGGGTTGCAGGCACATCCCCAGTGGGAGATGTGCAGGAGGCAGCTGATGGATGTTTCTCTCTCATCGATGTTTCTAACTCTCTGTCTCTCTCCCTTCCTCTCTGTAGAAAATCAATAAAATATATTAAAAAAAAAAAAAGGTGACATAGGCAATTTCAACCTAGTATATAATTGTATATATATTTTTTAAAGCACCTATTGCACATAGATTAATCTTTTGAGAGTCCTGAGGATCCCCAGCCTCCAGAAGCACAGATCTGGTGTCAGATAAGAGTGGCCGAATCTCTTCTATGCACTCACCAGCATAGACTCTGATGTCAGAAACCAAAGCCTCCAGATTCCAGCCAGCATCCCCCATCACCCAGCAGATGCTGAAAGGACATGATTACTACATTAGGAATGCCTTTGATCGGCTTAGTGCTTTATTTACCTCTATAGACAGTCCCTGACTTACGATAGTCCCATTTACTTTTGACTACGGTGGTGCTAAAGCAATATACTTCAAATTTTGAATTTTGATCTTTCCTTGGGCTGGCGATATGAGGTACGATACTGCCTTGAGATGCTGGGCAGTAGCAGTGAGCCACAGTTCCCAGTCAGCCATGCCATTAAGAGGGTAAGCAACTGATACTCCATAGTGCATTGTGTGGCCCGCACTTTTGGGCTATTGTGTTTCATGTGATAAGTTCTATGGTGAAAAATAAGCAGAGAAGAGGGGAAAGTGTATTAGGGAGAGGTGGTCGCCATTTTAATCGTGGTGGCCAGGAAAGGCCTCACTGAGAAGGTGACATTGGACTAAAGACCTGAAGGAGGTGAGAGATATCTGGGGGAAGAATGTTACAGAAAGAGGGACTCAGCAAGTGCAGCCCTGAGGTTGGAGCTTGTTGGAGGGATGCCCAGGAGGCCCATCTGGCTGGAGCCCAGTTAGTGAAGGATGATCAGAGCAGATGAGGTGAAAGAGGTAAAGAGGTGGGGCCTGGAGGTGAGAGGCAACCCCGACCATCCCCAAATCCCGTTTCTGCAATACTTCATCTGTATATTTGTATTGTGTGTTTACCACCCCAAAGGAAACATTTCTGAATCAAGCTTCTATCCCTTTAAGAACCATGCTTATCTTCAAATTCATCTTAGTTTATAGAAACCATCCTAAGCAGCCATGTTCATGAAGAAAGGAATCCTTTCAGAAAGACCTCAGAGAATATATGAAAAGGTTCTTTGAAAGTCATCACATTTTGCAACTGACTTTCAATGTACTGTTGCCAGCTGCAGTGATCTGTTTAAGTAGATTCAATGGCTTTTATAAAATTTTTATTTAATAGTTGACTTTTTCCTACTATTCTCAAGTAACCTAAACTTTCTGAGCTTCCTGGTGTTCCCTTTATGAGGAAACTGACAGCATGAGAAGAAGCATTCTTTTCCCCTGGTAATGTTCCCAGCAGATGTCGGCCCATCTGAGGTTCTGTGGTTAAAGGGCATAAATTTAAGAACGACTCAAGAAAACAGACATCCAAAACATCACCTCATGAGTGGTAGTGCTGTGTTAAATACTATGGTTTGGGGTTTGGGAGTAGAAAGAAGTACTTTTACTAAAGTAACTGCCTAGCTAACTCTACTCGAGGGCGAGGGAGGGGTGGTCACATTCCCCAACTCAAAGAATTCTGGTCATAAACTCAATCCAATCTGCCCTTCTGCTGCCTCTGAAACCAGAATCAAATCCTTAACTCCTCCCACGCTGTTCTTAGTTCACATTGACTTTTATCAAATACTTATTACATGTCAGCACTACGGACACAATGAGATTTAATCCTCACAGTAACCACTTGAAGTGGGTACTATTTTTATTCTCCTTTTACCAAGGCAGAGACGGGGGCTTAGAAATTCTGCTGAAACAATTATCTGCTAAGTGGTAACTCAGGCCCAGAGCTGTGAATCTTTATTATTAGACTAAAATGCGTCTTCCAGACACACTCCTTCCAAGCAGTGTAGGTCCATGGGCTCTTGAGTTTAATCTAAAGTATTCTAATGGAAAGGAAAATCCTGGGTAGGAAATGAGTTAGTGGCACCTAGAAGCTCTAACCACTAACAACAAAAGGATCCCTCTGGCAGAACATGTTGGCAATTGCCAGGTGGCAGGTAGTTTGGGAGAATGGGTGAAAAAGGTGAAGGGATTAAGAAGTATAAATTGGTAATTACATAATAGGCACAGGGATGTAAAATACAGCATAAGGAATGTAGTTAATCTTATATAATAAAGAGGTAATATGCAAATTGACCATCATGCCCTGGCACAAGATGGCCACCCCCATGTGGTCAAAGATGGCCACCACAAGATGGCTGGCAGGGAAGGGCAGTTGTAAGCAACCAGGCCAGTAGGGGAGGGCATTTAGGAGTGACCAGGATGGCAGGGGAGGGCAGTTGTGGGTGACCAAGCCAGCAGGGAAAGGCAGTTAGGGATGACCAGGCCAGCAGGGGAGGTCAGTTGGAGGTGATCGGACCAACGGGGGAGCAGTTAGGTGTCAGTCAGGCTGGCAGGGGAGTGGTTAGGGGGTGATCAGGCTGGCAGGCAGAAGCAGTTAGGGGCAATCAGGCAGGCAGGCAGGTGAGCAGTTGGGAGCCAGCAGTCCTGGATTGTGAGAGGGATGTCCGACTGCTGGTTTAGGCCCGATCCCACAAGAATTGGACCTAAACCAGCAGTTGGACATCCACCGAGGGGTCCCAGAGTGGAGAGGGTGCAGGCTGGGCTGAGGAACAACCCCTCCAGTGCACAAATTTCATGTACGGGGCCTCTCATAATTTCATAATAATTATATATAGGTGAGATGGGTGCTAAACTTATTGAGGTGATCACTTTGTAAGTTGTATAAATGTCTAATGACTGGGTAGTACACCTGAAACCAATATAATATTATAAATCAACTGTAACTGAAAAATAAAAATTTTTTAAAAAAGAACCTTCTGGCAGGAGAGACAGTATCAGGTGTGAGATCAGCTATTCTGGCTGGTTCGTGCACAGCCATAGCCTTGGCCTCAGCCGGGAAGAAGAGCTGGAGGGCAGCCGCACATGCACTGAGGAAAGAATCCAGTCTTTTTCTGTCCTTTTTCATTTTTATCTTTATAGATTTCTGGGCTTGGAAATCTGCCAGCAAAGCCTGAAACAGCCTTAGGAGACCTGTTGGCAACTCCCTGAGGGGTTGTTAGCCAAAAGCGTTAATCCTTGCCTCATCTTGAGACTTGTCTGCTGGGAGTAACTCAAAGGTATTCTTTCAGCCAAGATCATTAGTTGAGCAAGGGAGTCATTGTGGCTTAAGCATTCACCTTTGATTACTAGGTCGAGATAAGGACTGTTCTCTCCTTTTTTCCCCCTCTTGAGACCTGAGATAGTGAAGCACTTTTGACCTTGTGCATAGTGATCCTCTTTCCCACTGAGAATAACATGGGGAGAAAGAGGTGAGAGGCGGCAAGCAGCTAAATGTCCATTGCACCACTTCTCAGCATTCATGTTTACAGCATCAGCCTTCACTTAGCCCACAGGCAGGTGGTTCTCACCAGCAGTCAGGAAGACCCATGGCATTTCTAAGGCCAGCCTTGGCCCTGAAGGGGTTCAGCCATGCCAACCCCAAATATTGGTTATTTGAAGCTAAAGGCACTGGAGAAATAGGAGATGCAGGAAGGGCTCTCTGACCTCTCCCTTTATACCTAAAAGCAGACCATAAAACCTCCCATGAGAAGGTGCTCTCCCCGCACCAGGGAGAGAACATTCTTATCACCAGAGACTTGTGTACAAACAAACCTATTAAAACAACCCCTAACTGCCACTAGTTTCCCCCAAGTATTGTCTCCTCACTGTCTCACAGTTTACTGCCCCCAGCCCAACCTCCTTTGTCTTATTATCTCCTCCCAACTTACCATTTTTTGTTTAAAAAGATATATAAGCTGTGGGGCTTCTTCTGCTCATCTGTTTTCCTTTTGAAGACTCCCATGTATGCATAAAAATATCAAATAAAATGTGGATGCTTTTCTCCTGTTAATCTGTCTTTTGTCAGTTTAATTCCTAGGCTCAGCCACAGAACCTAAGAGGTGAAAGGAAGTTTATCTTTCCTTCAAGCCCTCTCGGAATGCATGGAAACTGTTTTTTTTTTTTCCAAATAACTGATGACATAAACTAGCTAAAGTGATGACAAGTCCCTTCAAAATATTTTTCTCCCTTTTTGTCCTTATGCATTCTATTCATTGTTGGGAGCCAGTCCATCCTTGCTGCTTGACACAGTCACTGCAGGGAAGAAACATCTGCACAGCATATGTTTCAAGGGACCTGGCGTATATGGCATACTGTTCTTAATATGTTTGTTCACCTTCTTGGTGCTATGTGTTTTAACCAAGGTCACCTCTCTGAGAAAGGATGTTTCCCCAGGTAGGAATTTTCCCCTGAAGTTAGGGAGGGAATAAAACCCCTTAACTAAGTGCCAGGCGGGTAGTTAATCACTTTAACTATGAACAATCACGCTTAAGCTACATAATCTTTACTCCCTGGAATGGAGATAAGAAATGCCCTAACCTTTGGAATAGAGATTGATAGAATTGGAATCAACTGGTATAAATACAGATGTAACAAGACAACAGGACACAGAACCTAGACACAGAATCTATAGACAGAACCTGGCGAGAGAACATGGCAAAAGATCCTAGACAGAACCTGGCTACAGAAATTGGCTGGAGAACCTACACATAACATGGCAGGAGAACCTGGACAGAACCTGGCGACCAAACTTGGCTGGAGAACCTACAGAACCTGGCAATAGAACCAGGCAAGAGAACCCAGCCATGCTGATCAACTGAACGCTGCCTCTGAGTCTTTCCTTCTTCGCTGACTCCGTCCACACCTTTGGAGACCCCAGACCTGCTGGGGTTGGGCCCCAGCAATTCATGATCATTGAAGAAAATTTAGACATACAGATAAACAAAAAGAAAATAGGTAAAATTAAAACCACTCAAAATACCACTACTCTCCCCCTGGCAATGAGCAAGGAGACACCTGATTGGTAGTGTTGCTCTTATATCAGTCAGGGACAAAGCAGATGTACAGTCCTTAGTTCATCCTAGCTTGATGCCTGTGTCAGTGGCCAAAGCTGTTTCATGCCTGAGGCACATAAAAAGAGAAAAAAAATACCACTACTCAGAGATAATTGCTATTAATAATTTCGTACAGATTCTTCCAAGGTTTTTCTATTCAAAGACAAACATATAAAAGTTTCATTTTTTTTTTTTAAAAAAAAAAGGGGGGGAGGATCAAATTCTACACACAGTATTGTAACTTGCTTCTTGCTTAACAATAAGCCATGAATAATTTTTTATGTAAAAATTTCTCTTACCGCCCTAGAGATTGAAATGTATTAGCACCCCATCATTTATTAATCAGTTTAGTATTGTTGACCATATAGGTAGTACCTTTTCACCATCGCACTTAGCAACAACATTATGAAATCATACAACATGTTTAAGCACTTGCCATTTTTACCTCAAAATAAATTGCCAAAGCTGAAGCCAGCAGTTTATTAAGGTTTCTGAGACAGCACCGTCTTCCAGAAAGATTATCCCACACTGACTTCATAAGCAATGTTTGCAAGTATCATAAAGCCTTCCGCATAGCAAACCAAGGAGCCCCAAAATAACCCCAGGAGAGGGAAGAGGCCCCCTCACAGCTTTGTCACCCCCCAGCTCTCACACATCACTAAAATAATGTAAACGATTGTCACTCAGTTGTCCCCATCCCAAACGTGTAACATGAGACAGGAGCAGAGTGAGATGATTATCCCAGAACAATGCAGAGTCCCAGGGGCCTTGCAGGGAGAAAACAGAGCCAGCATTTGGTGTAAAACTCGTCTGCAGTAGCTGACGAAAGCTCAGAGGTACAGAGTTTCCTTACTAATCCAATAGGTAGACAGCACTTATTGTGCACCAGGCACTCTAAGTGCTTTATAAATCTCAAAGTATTTAATTCTCACACTAACCCTACAAAAAGGCAGATACCACTTTTATTCTTATTTTACATATGGAGAGTAAGTAACTTGGAATTAGTTCTAGAGCTTGCGCATCTAACCCTGTTGCCTATCAGGGAATATCTCTGATCCAGCTTTGAACACTCCCAACTGCTCCCACATATGTAGGATAGTAAACACTCCATTTTCCAATCAAGCAGGAAGCACCATTCAACTGGTATTGTCACAGGAAAAAAAGAACAAAAACTGAACTTTATGCACAAAAAGTCATACTTAAGATAATTTAAATGACTTTAGATAACAATATGTTCCCTGTACCTGGTTTAGCCCAGGTTTCATTTGCCATTTATTAATTTTAACTATTTCTTTTCTTGGGCACATTCAACTTTTCCTTTAGTAAATTGGATCATTTAAGGCCTTCTACTTTCTTCCTTTTTTTAATACACATACCCATACACTATAATATTTCATAGATTTTGAATGCAACCATCTGGTGAACTCACCTTCCAGAACTCAAGACCACCTGACCAATTGATTGATTGACTAGCTCACCTCCAGTCAGCTTCCTCTTCCATACAACACAGCACTGATCCTTAAATTTCACCACATCTCATACTCGTTGGCTTCTTTCCTCTCTGCAGTTGACAGAGAAAGTTAAGGCCATCTTATATTCGTTTATTCATGTGTTCAATCATATGGGTGAATTTACCCTAGCACCTTCTACCAAATTACATAAATACCCTTAGTCTCTCACAACATATATACACACACACATGCACACACACACACAAGCATGTATGCATGCATGTACACACCTACACCCTGCAATCTTGCATTCCCGTTGGCTTCTATAGTATACAGCTGATATCTCAAATTTTCTCTAATTTATTAAAATATTATGTTAAGATGTCTCCAGCATACACAGGGCCCCATATACTAACCACCTAGCTTTGATGAATCATAATAGTTTACCTCAATTTTTCCCTCTTATTAGAGGAATAAACATTATGAGTACCTTAGAAGCTCTTGGATACCTCTCTTTAACCCTTTTTCTTTCTCTCCCTCACTGAAGGTAGCCATTGACATGACTATGTCATATATGGTTTACATTTTTTATTGTTTTTACATGTATGAACTATTTAATCCTTTGTACTTTTAAAAATTTTCTTTAAATGGAACACTGGAATGTCATTCTCAGACTTTCCTTGTTATTTGAACATTGCTTTTCAGTTTTACTCATGATGATATTGTGGCAGACAGTCAGATAGGCATGAGCAGAGCAAGGACGATGATGGGCCAGGTGCAGAAGGTCACCAGGGCAAGAAAGCCCGGGTGCCTAGCCTTGGGCAAAACTGGAAAAACAAGCACCTTGTCCCCAGGATAACCTTTTCTCCTGAAGCATACTGCTGGTCATATGGCTCTCAGACCCTCCCCTGACCACTCCTTCTCTGGCATGTCGCTAGTCATATGGATCAGACCCCCTTAGAAGGGGAACAAACAAGGAGTCTGGAGAATAGCCCTGAAGCATTAAGCCCCCAGGACAATGAGGTTCTGACCTGCATCAAATATATCTAGGCATCAGTTGTGTTTCAGCTTCAGGCACAGAAAAGCAGAAAAACCAGACAAGGGACATCTTGGCTGATGTCAGGAGCAGCTGCATTGACAAATGGCCCTGGCCCTGTGCCAACCAATCAGTAGAGACCACAGTCCTGAAAGGACACACCTGGAAAGCTGATGAATATTCTGTGGGATTCTCCCCTGAGACCTACAGGTAACACACTGAGGACAAGAACTCATTGTGGCTCTCTATGGAGCACCCCTGTGCCTTTCCCCACCCCATTTCCCCAGGCATGTTTTCTTTCTAGTAAGCTCCTAGGGCTCTTCTTCTGCCTCTGTAACTTGTTTCCTGAACCAATTTCTTCTATGGCTCACCTCTACCCTTGTGACTTTCTAAATATATTTTATCTTATAGTTTGAATCTCATCTCTGAATTCTTTTTTAGCCAAAATTCAAGTACTGAGGTTGCTAAACCAAGGTCTCTGGACATCTAACACTGGTGCCATTTCACCACCAACAATACATGCAGTCATAATTGTAACTGCATTTGGTAGTATGCCATGGTATGTACATGCTATAATTTGTTTATACAGTTACCTTTTTATGTAGGTTATTTCTAATTTTTTTTTTTAATTCCAGGATTGTATGTCCTGCTCCGTCACAGAAACTAAGCCTCTCATCCCAGAATGGTAAACTCCCCAGGGCTACAATAGCACAAGCTCATACACTCAACACTCAGGTGTTGAGCTCCCTCTCAATGTGTAGACCATGAGACTGTCTCTCACTTTTTGCAATTTAACACATTTAAAGCATGTTTTATTATCTTTTATCCAGTACCTGAGACCTGGTGCATGAAATTCTTGCACTGGAGAGAGGGGCAGCTCAGCCCGGCCTGTGCCCTTTCACAGTCTGGGAGCCCTCACGGGATGTCCAACTAACGGCCAGC